ATAAGAAATTTTTGATAACACGTTAATCCTGGGACAGTGAAACGGTATTTTTATTATTTCTACGGTATTTCTTGTGAAAATATTACCCTGTCAAAGACACACAAAAAAATATATCGGTCTTTTTATCGGGTGAAATGTATACCCTGTTTAAGACAGCAAGGCCAAAAACCATACCCTGGCCAGCGGCACGTCCCCGTATAGCAAATATATGGAAGTACGGGATTGATTCATCGTTTTGTACATTTTGTTCAAGCACATTATCTGCATATGGATAAACCATAAAGACCAATCTGTCAATCTTTCTGAGAGCTTGATGGATATCATTAACAGTTAGCAATCTAAGTACAAAGAAGCTCAAACAAGCTGACAACTGCACCTGGGTTCAAATGAATTTGAATTTGATTTGATCAGAACTGACTGACGTCACTMAATCAATTAAAAYATATTGTCGGGAGAACAATGAATACTCATTATCTCAAATTTATTCACTCCTGGCTGGCTTTCCTGCTATTTGCTTGTCCTTTTCGTAATTCAAGTTTGAAAGACTGCTCTGTTTGAACTCCGGATGATAACAGCTTCATACGCCTAATTTTCTCAGAACGGCTGGCGAAGTAAGAGTATATAACAAGTGCACCGTGTTTTCGAGGTATGTTTTAGTTTTTTTGAGTCTCAGCGTTCTGTTTTGTTGTTGTTTGTGCTGTTGCTGTTGTTCTGGTTTGATTATAATATAATAAAATAATTATGAATGCATATATCGGTTATTCTCCAMTTTTTTCATGTAGAGTTTTCAGTGGAGTTCTATCTCCAAGCATAAAGGTCCACTCAAATTGTTGTCTTTCTTTATGCTTACATCAATACTTAGCATATAAAGAAAGGGAATGTAATCTACAGGTTCATGTTTACCTTTTTACTGTTTTTTAACGATAATAATAATAAACCTGAGGATTTTCTTCATTTTTGAGATTTAAGATATAAAAGTGGCAAATTTCTATTGTCGCCGAAAGAGGACGACTTTATTGCTAATGCAGAAGTGTTTTTAATAATGGCTAAATCCGTGTGGTTGTTGATTTAGCCATGTCATCAAAAAAAGCTTTCAGATGACAAGAGAAATCTCTGATTTAAAACGGTCTTTTTTGAKAGGAGAGCTGTCTATTTTTACGACGTTTTCACCTGATAAAGCAATTTAGCTAGTAGAAATCCAACTTAGAAAAATAAAAAAAATTGAACTTAAGTCATGTTTTTGACGCGTGAATCATCTATCTACAAATATCAATGTCTGAGCCCTACACATATCTACTCCGTCGAAGAAAAACTATTCGCACACTGAGTATTACATATTTGACAGCTGTTCTAGTATGGTGTCGAAAATTAGAATTYAATTCGGATGTGGTCATTTTGTTTTAAAATTCTCTGCCTGATTGAAGTGGTTGACGTTTTCGTCCAAGTTTGTTTTTCTCCCGGATTCAGGGAGGCACTCGAAGTAAAACGTTGTCATGGAAGTACTATCGAGGTCTGATATTTGAAGGGGAAAACAAGATAACAACACGATGATATGCCGCGGGCAATTTGTTAGTTGGTAAAWACATATTGATTTTCAGTAATATCCAGTCGCTGATTATCATTCAGTTTACCAGGCAAATCGTTAAGAAATGRATGTTTTAAAAAAGGTGGCGAGAAGTAGTGAAGCTGACTTTTCTGTGTTTTCGCAATGCATTGTGGGGCGTCCCATGGCAAAGTACTGAGGAAAAACTGCTATATTATAAATAAACTTTCATATATTTTTTTAATATTCTCTTGTAAAACATTTGTAATCTTCTCTTRGTCAACGTAAAGTAATATTTGCACCTGTCCAAGATGTTCGCCTTATTGTTGTCGGTTAAACGTAGTTAAGTTTACTTTAGTTGACTATTGCTTYTATTAATTCTGGATTATAAAAGGCTTGTTGATATAAGACATGTAATTAATTGGTGAACTCGGCCGATTCAACATTGATTTATCAGCATTGGTTTAACAGCTTGAGATAAATTTAYCGATTTTGAGGTTTTGCCATTTCTCTACGTTTTTCAGTGCGGATTTTTTTTTTTTTTTTACTTCAAAAATATTAAAACTGCTTTGAAAACTATGCTTGGAATACCACGACTGGCAAAGGGTCGTCAATAATAACGCGCAATTTTTATATGTAATAGGACTCCATGCTGTCCAATTAAGAAATAATTGGACGAGGAAAATTCCGAGGACTGCCAAAAATTGGACGAGGCCGTGGCCGAGTCCAATTTGGCAGTCAGAGGAATTTTTCGAGTCTAATTATTTCTTAATTGGACAGCATGGAGTCTTATTACCTATTAATTATATAGCCACATATTGATCCCAAATAGGTTAAAKCCAACCACAGCTTTTAACAAAAACCCAATTGAAAACCTGTCCAATTAATTTCTTAATTGGACAGGATTCCAAAATTAACGAAAAATCCAGCTTTTACCTATTTGGGATTAATATGTGGCTATATAATYAAACCCGAAATATGTCTATTGTAAAATAGCAATTAAGATTGGATTGTATATATATCCCAGTGTAGATGTATCTTCAGGTAAAAGGGCTTTTTTTTCTTTACTATGTATGATATCAAGGTTTGAAGTGAAAAATGTCCAAACTGAAAATATCCGTGAAATGGGATAATTAATAAATCACTATTAATATCGTTGTCTTCGAATAACATTTAGGTAAGAAACGTACAACAACAAATAAATAAAACCAAATCAAATCAARACAAACCAAACTAATACGTGTAAGTTATTGATTTTCACACATGAAACAAGCAAGGCTTTTAAAATGGTGAAGATGTACTTATACAAGAGAATAACATTAGGCCGGAAATATTCTTTCTTTTCAAACAAGAAATGACGACAACTGATTGCGAAACAAGATTCGAGATAATTCTTTTTTGGACTGAAATTCATTTTTTGTTTGAAGCAGAAAAAAATGAAAAAACTGAAAAATGAAAAAACGATTTGACCGACAAGTATGGCTGACAAAGAATTTGAGGTCATTGCAATTCCTCCAGACTGGACTAACTCAATCGAATTAACTAATTTATTTATTACTCGCTGATCCTGTTCCAGAGTAAAATCGCTGAAAACTATACCCTGTTCCAGAGTAAAATCGCTGAAAACGATACCCTGTTCCAGAGTAAAATCCTGCACTACCTTGCGTGTAGACCGAATTTTTACCCCGTGGATTTTTATCCAGCATCGAAATAATTCCGGAATTAAACCCTGACCCTGTTCCAGAGAAAATTCGTTGAAATCGGTACCCTGTTTCAGAGTAAAATCGCTAAAAACGATACCCAGTTCCAGAGTAAAATCGCTGAAAACGATACCCTGGTTGNTTACTTCCTAAATCGTCAGAATGATTTATACCACTCGACCTACAAATCAAACCCTCTCAATCTTTGCTTGTATAGATACAAGTGTTAGCCCAGATCTTTTTGATAGTATCGGCGAGCTCTTAAACAGCAAAGATCGTTACCGATATTGGTTGGAAAACCATTTGCTCACCAGTCAATTTAAAAAAGCTTTGCCAACCTTTATTTGGAGTCACTTTATACGAACAATTGATCAAGACAAACGTCTTCCATTAGTTATCTCATCCGCTTTGAAGAACGGCAGTTAATCGCCTCTAGACTGGGAAAGGTACGTCGAGCTTGTGTTGATTCTTTTGTAGAATTTTGTTTTGAAATTTAACTGATTTTTCCGCAATAAGTTGATAAGCAGATCTGTGATGATTCATTGAGTGAATGTCAGAAAATATTTTTTTCGCGTGCAATGCTAAGATTTTCTAAAAGTAAACTTGTAAGTAAACTAATATTTTCTGTGTTGGAGTGTTTTTCCTGTTAAAAGCTTTAAAAGCTGTCCTTTGAAACGCTTCTACTTTTTGATGGCGATGAAGACCTTAGTTGTTGCTATGGGGACATTTTTTTTATTATACCACGTAAAGCAAAAAGCGAAACGCTAACTTAATTTAGTCTGATACTATTATTCCAAGCCTCAGTATGATCAATGGCATTTACCTTGATCCTTATTTTGTATTAATCATTTTTCTTATTTATTTTAAGTTGACAAGCGTTCAATATTGAGTCTATATAATCACTGTAATGCCAATATAGTTCAAAAGCTTCTACTCTTGTCTCAAAGATAATCGGGAGTTGGATCGTATATTGTGCCGACCACAAGTGCTTAATTCAGATGAATTGTCGATATATTGATCCTCGTTATTTGATTTTCGATAGTTTCTTGTTTTTGAATTATATTTATGCTGTGAAGAATGTCAAAACACCTCGCATCCGAAAAACATCTGTAAATGATGAAATTATAACAAAAGAGGCGAAACTGAATACGCGCGTAGCACCACATAACTGGCATCAATTSCCTGTCATCAATTGCTTTTTCCCATGCGTATAAAGCTGTACATATGGAACTTATTGCCATACATCGGGTGACATTTGCTTGGATTATTGTCCAGTAGCTCACTCATGCATCCATGCATGCATGTATATATGCATGTAATTTATTTATTTACTTCATGAAATATAATACAATGGAGTTAATTAATATTTTGTCGTCGATCGACCTCATTAACATCATCATCTGACCATTAAATACTATTAATAGCAAAGTCACCTCTAGAAAGGAAAGTACATGTACATATAATATCAYAGTTACGTTCACTGACTGATATAAATTTTTCAAATATTGAATTAACACAAAACTGCATAGTTTTGAGTACATTTTCAACATATAATAAGAAAGCAATAATTTGAAAAATTCAAGTTTGATTTTTGTTGCTTGTGCCTACAGAAGTAGTCTCCTTTGCATCCGTTCATCGTCGGGACAGGAATCCCGAAACGCAAACGGATGCAAAGCAACGCCAACTCTTCAAAGGCGAAAATACGTAATTTGATTTTTAAATTTTCTCACGAAAAATACACAGCAATGTCACACATACATTTTATTTCTTAAATCCGGTGCTAGGTTTTTTATTAACAAAATAAGTTATACGCGAGGCCCAGTTTTTTGGAGCGAACTGTGGTGAAAACATGGATCGCCATACTATTTTAATGCTCAACTTCAACTCTTCAAGGGCAAAAATACGTGATTGGATTTTCGAATTTTCTCATGAAAAGTACCCAGAAAGGTCGCATATAGATTTTATTTCTTAAATCCGGTGCTAGGTTTTTACGATTGTTTTTAATGTCGCCGCATTTCTTCAAAAAGCCTTGAAATCTGGCCTTTTTTCGTCAAATTTGGCACTTCATACGGACTGTCAGGTCAAGCTTGAGTGATCACGGACTATTTGTCCCCCATAAGTTCCATATGAATTCCAAAGAGATTAAAAAAAAGTAATGGTTACCAAAATGGTTATCTTATTGTATRATTTTATTGAGTAATGTAAAACTCCATAAAACGGCATGCATAAAACTGGTAGTTGAGAATATCATGTATAAGTGTCATTACATCATTACAGTAATGCATACAAGCAGAAGTACATAACCAGAAGAGTCCCTCTCGGTAATAATCTTGTGACCATCAGATATCCCGACAATCTATTTTTAGACAACCAATCACAACGCGCGCTCATATAACAGCGCACCTGATTGGTCCTTGTTGATACTACTTCAAGAGACAAAATTTATGTACTTCTGATAAAAGTCGTCATAAGTCGTCATGGTGAAAAAGTGTTGAACTCGGACTGCTTCTTTTTCTTTTTTCTTTCTTTCTTTATTCATTTATTTTTCAATTACTGTCAAAAGACGATATAGGTCATAGCAGGGCATAAGTGATGCRCTAAAATACGAGACTTTCCACTTACACTTACATATATTGAAATTGCTTTGCAATCGGCTTGCTAATCTAGCTTAATGGCAGACGAATGACTTTCTGATAACGATATATAACTTAAAGACTTAACCAATACTCGACTCTTAGCGGCTCTTTGCGCAATCTTCAACAAGGCGGAGAAATGTCTGGATTAATAAAATTCGATAAACAATGAGCCAAATCAACCAGCTGGTGAGCTGGTTTTTTTCCGGGGTCATTGTGATCCCTAGCGTTCGATCGACATTCACGGTGAAGGTCAGTTAGCCGAGGTTTTTCGCACCATGTCATGTCCTGTGATTCCGTCTTCCAAAAATTTCTAATTAGAAATATTACTTATAAGCAAATATCGAGATTTGAAATTCTTAAGTTAACAGCTCTCCATAATTTATGAAAATTTGCAGGCTTAATTCTTACACACAATTTCTTAACTGATCAGTTCAGTTTCATATGCAAACAGTCGTCTGTTCTTCCAGTAAGAATTAGTTCTCTTAGAGTATATATGATAAATAACTCTATAGTAAAATAAAGAATAGTTTGTCACGGTTCTATGATAAATTAGTTAACCAAGAATGTTTTTTGGTCMGATTTCGTGGCGATATTGGCGAATAGAGACATCAACTTACTTCGATCGGGGCTCAATTTACGATTGCATAAAGGCTGCTTTGACAGATTCTACTAGTGTAGTCAGTGCGTGGGAGTGAAAACAACTCCTGCATACATGTTAGTTTGATTTTTTATGTAAAATGATATTTACAATCAAATATATGTATTTAATAAAAAATAAACGTATGCAATTAAAAGTATACAAAACATTTTCATTCTTACCTAGCTATAGTTGAACTTCTGTTTCGTGCATATAATAAAGACAATCTCCACGATTTTCTGAAAATAAATAGAGCGCCTTCACGTCCTCTAATATGAACTTTGCTTAAGTCTTTCAAACTGATTCTTACTTTTTAGAACACTTGAAACCTTSGCATGAGTTCCAAAGGAACATGGATTCTTTTTCTACTACTTCACTCTTGTCAAAAAGGCGTCAGTATAAAAACTTTATTAATCGGCGGATTATTTGGGATCGACACGAGTCGTGGGGGTTGGAATTCGGCTGGAATMATCCCAGCTGTTCAAATGGCGTTTGATGATATAAACAACCGTACAGACATCCTTAATGGTTACAGTTTGGATCTGGATATTAAAGATACCAAGGTAGGAACTGTTAATTAACGAGCAAAACCATTGTTAAAACTATTTCCGATAGTCCATTTCAATCACGTTATAAAAAAACTGTCTTCAAAAATAGAAATTGGGAATAAAAATGAAAATGAGAATAAAAAACAAATTAACCTAGTAGCCAGGGTCCCAGACTCTTTTTGTCCAAAAGACCGCGTYTCAAAAGGGACCGATTATATCCTTACTTATAGACTATACTTGCAATGGTTACTTCAAGCTGTCGACGAGTGTATATAATCAACTTCCTGTTAGGAAATGGCGCGAATAGAATTCAAATACTTCTATTTGATAAATGTTAACTGTACATAATGGCTTTGCAGTGCAATATAGGTGAATCAGTTAGGGCGTTAGTGGAATATATATCCAATGGTCGACCCAAGCTAATGCTATTGGGACCTGGATGTTCGAAAGCTTCCTTTCCTGTAGCTGAGGCAGCTCATTACTGGAATATCTTACAGGTTTGTGGAAGCTTTACTTGAAACTATTGTGTTATAACTTTAAAAAGATTTAGAAAGGTCATCGATAGTGACTTTTGCGAYGTGCGGCAAAACGATGTTGTGTTTTCAATCGCATTCCTTTGAAAGATTGGCGGCCATTTTGGCGTACATGAACAATCATGATAATAAGAAACCTTTTGCCAATGTAACACCACAAAGATGAACGCTTTGACCTGAAAACCACAATTCCGTACCTAAAATAAATTACTTGTTTGCGCGTTTTGAGCATGCAATGATAGAAACCTGTGAATAATTTTCAGTAGGTGTGAGAGAAGAGTTTCTATCATTGCACGCTCAACGGTCGTCCCGCTTCGATGCAAAGGCACGGCTACCTTTCAAGATGGCGAGGTAACCGTGAAGGAGACTATTGAATGCAGTGGTCGATGAGTTAGTTTGATGGAAAGAAGAGTAAGGATAAGTTCTCTGTACTTAAGATCACATGAGCTTGTTGTACAAAGAGTGTGGATAAAGTTGTCCATTGATTTTGTATGGATTTTATCTGTTATCTAGTAGATAACACTATTCTAGATCTCCCTCCGNGCGAATAGAATTCAAATACTTCTATTTGATAAATGTTAACTGTACATAATGGCTTTGCAGTGCAATATAGGTGAATCAGTTAGGGCGTTAGTGGAATATATATCCAATGGTCGACCCAAGCTAATGCTATTGGGACCTGGATGTTCGAAAGCTTCCTTTCCTGTAGCTGAGGCAGCTCATTACTGGAATATCTTACAGGTTTGTGGAAGCTTTACTTGAAACTATTGTGTTATAACTTTAAAAAGATTTAGAAAGGTCATCGATAGTGACTTTTGCGACGTGCGGCAAAACGATGTTGTGTTTTCAATCGCATTCCTTTGAAAGATTGGCGGCCATTTTGGCGTACATGAACAATCATGATAATAAGAAACCTTTTGCCAATGTAACACCACAAAGATGAACGCTTTGACCTGAAAACCACAATTCCGTACCTAAAATAAATTACTTGTTTGCGCGTTTTGAGCATGCAATGATAGAAACCTGTGAATAATTTTCAGTAGGTGTGAGAGAAGAGTTTCTATCATTGCACGCTCAACGGTCGTCCCGCTTCGATGCAAAGGCACGGCTACCTTTCAAGATGGCGAGGTAACCGTGAAGGAGACTATTGAATGCAGTGGTCGATGAGTTAGTTTGATGGAAAGAAGAGTAAGGATAAGTTCTCTGTACTTAAGATCACATGAGCTTGTTGTACAAAGAGTGTGGATAAAGTTGTCCATTGATTTTGTATGGATTTTATCTGTTATCTAGTAGATAACACTATTCTAGATCTCCCTCCGTATAACTGGCCCTAGGATTCAATTCTAAAATGTACTCTAGATAATGAATATTAATGGCAGTTATTCACTTATATATCGCTCCTTCAATCGATATTGTACGACTTATTAAAGAAACGAACACAACYATGGTTTATATTTCGTTGTCTTTTTAGCCAATCAATATCGGGGGCGGATCCAGCCCGCCGACACGTGGGTGCAGGAGGTGCGCACCACCCACCCCCCTCCCCCCCCCAACCCCCTCCTGAGATCTATATCCTTCAATACTTTCCTTATTTTGTATCTTCATGGTAATCTTGAGAGCCCTGCACCCCCCATCCCTGAGGAAAATCCTGGATCTGCCCTTGAATATCTTATACCTATAGTGATCACGCATTCTCGTTTTCTACTTTTTATTTGTTTTGTCCCATTTTTATCWTTTTTTGTTTTCACTATCTTATTTTCAATAATTTATCAGATTGGCTTCGCGAGTGCGTCTCCGTTGTTTTCACAAAAGTCGACGTACCCTCTGTACTTCAGGACAAATCCTTCAGAGCATCCTGCAAACTTGGGTCGTGTTTCCATCATCAAACGCTTTAAYTGGAAGAAAGTAGCCATCTTGCAGATGAATAATGACGTATTTACAGGCATAACGGACTCACTAGCGAGTCTTCTCAAGCAAAATAATATCAGTATTGTGGCGTATGAAAGCTTCTCACAACATCCAAGAATCGCGATTGAAAACTTAAAGGTCAAGATCAGTATATGAATAAAACTATGAAATCGAGACACACACACAAGCAATCAAATAAAAGCGCTGTCCATCAATTTCTTTTCAGCTCTTTTAAAAAACTAATTTATTTTGAGCTTATTTAACAGGTGAAAATGCAGATGCTCGTTTGATGTCAAAAGTGCTTCAACTTGACATGAAAATCCGCTATAAATAATGATATATACGTCAAGAAAGTAAAGACTTTGTCAAATAATATAAAAAAGGAATTCTTTTTCCACCTAAATTGGTTCCCTCTGCTCATGTATTTACTTGATAATGTTCACATATATCTTGCATTTCAATAACTTTTACTTTTAGTCCTGAAGAYGAACGCGGTATAGTTCGAAAACGTTTGACAAAGTCAAAATATTCTACCTTTTTGACATATGTTTTACCGYGTGACACAAAATTTTAAAACATTGTTATTATTTTTACTTTTAGAAAAAGGATGCTAGAATTATCTTTGGTTTCTTCTATATAAGAGAGCTTTACATGGTGTTTTGTGAGGTGAAAGCAGTCAATTCGGWTATCTGCGCCATCTTGAAAGGTAGCCTAGCCTTTGAATCAAAGCGAGGCACCGTCTGAACTTACAATGTTACAAATATCTGTGATATCTGTCTTATGAGCGAAAAAACTACCCATCACTGTGCGCAAGCTCAACCGCAATCTCCCTTTAATAAAAAAATTAGAGTAGACAACTACTTTTCAAGATGGCGCTGGAAACAATAACATGACCGAATATTTYCGCCAAAACATATCACAATTTGATCCTGTTTTCTGAAAGCGCCACTATCCAATAGTTTGTATTTGGATTTTAGGCCTTCAAGCAAGGTCTGTATGGAMGGAAGTACGTATGGATAGTAGTTTCTGGGAGATACGAGGGTAAATGGTGGCATGCACAGGACGTTTCTAATATTAATTGCACAAGTCATGAAGTACGTCAAGGAATGAGCAACATACTTGGTACTGGCGAGATAAAGTTGAGTACCAGCAAACAGCCCACCGTTTCTGGCCAGGTAAATGGCGCTTGCACAAACATCCATCGATCATCAGAAGATTCCGTCTGACTGCGAAAGGCCGCAGATGACAGCCCATATAAGAGCAAACACGGCTTGGTCATGAAACCTTTTCTTGTATCAAAACCGATAGGATTTGAATTCGGAAACTGATAAAAGCTACATTACAACATTTTCAYGGCAAATAGTCTTTTTCGGACTCTCAGACGAAATGTTTCACGGATTTAATGCGCTCACTATCGAGTGTTATAATAACAGTAGCGATGAGAGACTTTATTCAATTTTTCAGATCCCTTCCATGTGGTACTCTAGATATCTGAATCGTACAAAGGAAGCCAGGTACGGAGTGAATATATTTGCTTCGTATGGATATGACGCTGCCTGGACATGCGCATTAGCTCTAAATGCGTCGATAGAAATCCTCTCTAAAGCTGGATTAAGACTAGAGGACTTTAATTACACAAACACAAACATGAGAAAGGTGTTTGTAGATGTCATGAAGCAGACTTCTTTTATGGGAATGACGGTAGGAATATGTTTATAGACCTACTCACGTGATCTATTCTCGAATCACGTGTTTAACCTCATGACAGAGTAGCAAGTATATGACCATCACAATATCCCATAATGCATAGCTCGTCTTAGTATCATAACAGGAAGTTATTTTGTAAACTCTTTGATCTTCGCCTTTAGTCGGAGTAGTATGAAATCCGAGCATGCGCAATACGTTCGCTCGAGCCAATACCACATGAGGGAAGTTACATCACGAAAAATGAATATTGAATTTGTTTTCCTTCAAAACGACGAAAATCAACTATTGATTGGCTTATGACACTTTGCCCCTTATTTCAGGGCCACGTCCGCTTTGATGAGAACTTTGATCGTATCACACAGCTTGAAATCAAACAACTTCAAGGTAAGGGACTGACTGACTGACTTTCAGACTGACACCTACATTACAATTTGCATTCATAATTTTAATTTTTTATCTTCTCACTTGATAATTGAAAAGGAGACGAAGAGAAGCGTGTTGCGCTTTACCATATGGAATCAAATAAATACATCGACGAAGCAAACACAAAATATCAATGGATAGGTACGTTACACAATGTAGCCTACTTAGCCAGCGTTCCTAACCCCTCCGAAAGAGTTTGGGCTCTCTGAGCGGCTACTAGGAACGCCTGGCTACACAGGCTAGACACAATAATGACATTATTACCAATATGCATTCTATTATTGGACTAGCCATTTCATTCAATTTCATTTCCTTAAAATATACTAAATGTTACTTAATRTTAACATTAATTCAATAAGTTCCATCCCAATTTCCATTTTAATCTCCATTATCACTTCCTATTGTTTCATTTAAGGAGGCCATATACCAGTAGATTCCCTGTCCGTTAGCACAAAGGAAAGAACGGTCCCTGATTGGTTATTTTGGCTTGTTGCCAGCTTTTCCCTGGCAGGAATCGTCTTAGCGGTTGCTATGTTAGTTTTCAACATTCACAACAAAAAAATTCGGTAAGGTCTTGTTATATGTACATGTTTGAACTTTTCTTATAGAGAGTAGGGCAATATGATGAAAGATAAATTTACAACGATAGATACATCAAGATGTCTTCCCCAAATCTCAACAACGCGCTGATTGTTGGTTGTATATTCATCTACGTCGGGGGACTGATCAATGGTTACTATGGCAATTGGTTCAGCATATTTTGTGAGGTATGCAACAATCAGCATCATGTGAGAGACGGAAATAGCAACAATAGAAAAATGAAACGAAAATAAGATAAAAGAAAAGAAAAGAAAAGAAAAAGATCCCAAAGAAACAACATCTAAACAGGGGCCGCGGAGACGGGGATTTTTGCTTCCRAWAAATTAATAAAATGAAATCGGTAAGATTAAAATAAAAAATACAAAAAATCGATGATCAGAGCTCGACTATACTGTGATGGCATCAAGTTGGAAACGTTAAAGAGTCAACTTCACATGCCTCCGGACCCCCCTATACACCCTTTTAATAAGTCCCGAGGTATTGTGTTCTCCGCACTTGACGTCAAATTTATTCTTTTGAAATTTTTGCAATACAAAAGGAATTCAAAAGAATAAATTTGACGTCAAGTGCGGAGAACGTAATAACTCGGGACTTATTAAAAGGGTGTATAAAAATCGCGCCTTCGGCGCTCACCGAACCCCACCAACCCCCACCCCCCCTCCCCCCACATATTTGATCGCTCCTCGGTCACTGCTAAAGATGGAAAAATGCGACAAAAAGTATTCTCATTATTTTTATTATATTATTTTTTTCAGTTTACACTCACTTTATGTGCTTATTATTTTCTCTTTCCTCTTAAGATTGAATTATGGATTATAACGCTGGGCTTCACGTTAGCTTTCGGAGCTATGTTCAGTAAAACCTGGCGAGTGCATCAGATTTTTCTCGGCTCAAAGAAATCAAACAAAAGGGTAAATATCTGAACGCAATGAAAACTGTACGAAACAAAATTGCGCAAAACGAAATGTAGCGAAACAAAACATATAGCGAAACCAAAATGAAAGGAAAAGTGAAAAAAACTTACGAAACGCTACGAAAATACGAAATCTTTATACAAGAAGACAAACTATGAACTGAATTGTGCGTTATTTTTTGACAGGTTATCATACCCGATAGACAGTTGTTTTGTTTACTTGGGTTTTTGTTATTGATTGATTTAATTATACTACTTACCTGGCAAATTATGGATCCTTTGATTGAAACAAAGCAAGAAATGTCCATGGAGGTAAGATCGATTGGGATATGCTTACTGATAGTGATAAACCATTTATACATGTCGTAACATATGGTTTATTTGTGTTCGATCTAAATTACTTTTGCTGTCTTGGTAGCAGGAATCCACTGGGCTGCTTGAGCTGAAAGAATGAATTATTACAATAAGGCGCCCGTGCGCATTATTGTCGTTAATTGATAGTGCAGGACTCTTAAARGGACACGTTCTCGTTAGTCGTTAATCAATGGGTAATATTCGATACTGCAAGCCCTKGTCAATTGGTGGGAACGCAATTCTTTTCAGGAACAAGACAATGGATTCTAGATGTCTTTCCCAAGAGTGCAAAAATATTTTGATCCTTGTGGCACCAAGAGAAGTTGATTTCGCGTCACATGCAGCATGTACATCCCGCTAAACCGACTCTGATAACGCCGCGCACGCACTTTAACCAAGTCAGACAACCCGTGAACGGCCACGAGTTGCWAGCGTGCGATAACAAAACAACATCATGAGTTATGTATCGGTAAAATAGAATGAACATCAATTGACTTCGATAAGTGTTTTTTTTTCATTGAACTTTTGGCAGGTGTTTGGTGACGAGGCTGTTTTACCTTATGTCAGAAAATGTAATTGTCAACACATGGTGATCTGGAAGTCAATACTGCTGGTTTATAAAGGTAAGGTTGAGCCGCAGTATTTGCTGGTAAATAGTATTTGCATTCCATAAATAAACACTAAGTATAATACGGACTATGACTAATAAGATTATAGACTTTCTCTGGCAAATTCGTAAGCACAACAAAGCAAATCTACCATTTTGATATGTACAACTACCAGATTTTAATACTGATSTTTTATTCATCATTGTTGTAAACCTCATCAATGGGCGTCATATAGCGTCGTTAAATCCCACGGTGCCTGTCATTATTAGGCTCAGTCTCCAGCCATCGGGATTTCGTGCGCCCGCGATACTCTCTCCCCTGACGGCTGGGCGCATGGGGTTCRAAAYKTGTCRSGMATGTCCGWGACGTTTTTGTGTAATTAGCATATTATGACGTAACGGAAGTGAATTTTTCAGTGAACGGAAGTGAAATATCTGACAACAGCCGTAAAGGTTTTGCTACAAGGCGGGAAATTATGTGAAATGAAAACTTCGCGAAGTAGCGATATAATGTAATAGTTAGCGCTTTAAAAAAGAGAAAGGAATGGAAATTACCCCAAGTAAAACATGTGCAGGATTTAATAATCCAAATGGATGTATTATCTGCCAGAAAAACGAGCAAAATACACTAGTGGCGCTATTTGAAAAATAAGAGATTTGCCCGAGCCAGGGGTATAGGAAGAATAACAAGGACATCTTTTCCAAGAACAATCTCTTTTTTTGCTCTTAAAAGAGCCTTTTGCTGTATTTCTCTAAATTCGTCCAAGCTAAACGACTTCAGAGCCTTCAAACAAGCACTTTCAAAGAGAATCTCAAACGACGAATTGTACGCCATTTTTACACTGCTGCCTGCTAATTTATTAATGATATGCCCCTGAAAATATCGGGGGACACTCGCTGATTGGTCAAGACTGACAATAGCGAACCCCATGCGCCCAGCCGTCAGGGGAGAGAGTATCGCGGGCGCACGAAATCCCGACGGCTGGAGACTGAGCCTAGTCATTATGTGACATCATTAGAATCATTTTCATCCGTCTGTGAAACAATTACTACTAGTCAGTGTTTAATAGTAACTATTAGGGTGTAGAAGGCTACCAAAAGGCAAACTCAAAACCGTGTTTGTCTAATTAGTTTGTCACAAGTTAAACTAAAGGAACTAATAGGGGATAATAGTATTTAATAGTACAATTACTATTTCACAGACGGATGAAAATGACTCTAAAATCATTGTCAAACCTGTTCAAATTGTTAGGATTATTGTTACTATTTGGAGCATATCTTGCCTGGGAGACACGTAAGGTMCACATAGAAGCACTCAACGACAGTAAGTTAATTGGCATGTGTATATACAACGCTGTTGTGCTGTTTACCGCTGTCGTTCCCGTGCAGTCTGTTCTGGAATCCGAACCGATGATTTCCTTTGCTTTACTAAATGGTTTGACGATCCTATCAACCACATTTACCATTTGTGTGGTTTTTATACCCAAGGTAAGACTAAAGAGAATGCTGGGCTTGAAAGCAGACGATTGCCGAAGGGAGATTGCACGACCGAAAGGGACTATGGTTACACTGTTTTGACAAACAAAGTTTCACTTGCTATTGTAATTRTATACACACTTAGTTGCCAAAACATTTATATAATAAGAAATACATTAAAAAGACAACCCCACTTTCCCTTCCCACCAATACATACCACCCAATGGTTTACTGAAAGGCTGTTCATTYTATAGTCAATATAAATCTAGAGTCACTTATGCTGACATTATTATTGTTGCAATTATTAATATTATGCCTTTTCTTGGATAATTTGTTATTCTCTTCGTTTATAAAGATCATATTTTTGAGAAAAAATGATGGMAATGACATTCAAGCTTGCACTGGTAACTCGAGTAAAGAAGAGAAATACGTGAGTAAACCACAATCGTTTGCCAAAAAACCTTGGACCATAAAATCCTTTATCTTCAGCCTAAACTTTTTCTCCTTTATTTTTTCACAGTTCTCCCCCTTAGCCTCCTTTCATCAATGTTGGGTCTTGATAGCATGCTCAATGACAACATTGCATTTAGGGGGTCAGGGAGGATGACATTATATGCGGGTGTTGCTTAAAATAAGGAAATTCTCTCGAATGTTCCAAAGATTTTGTCAACGATTGTATTTACGTTGTTTCCCCTAATTACGTATTGCACGTTTTGACAAAGTACACTAAATGATTATGGTATTGAAAACACTGTCAAGATTGTGGATTTGTTATAAAACTTACAAAAGACCACGAGGAAGGACGAGCTTTCTTTCCAATATGAAAGTTGTCCCATGTAGAGCTCTCTTTGGAAGTTCCAATATTTCACAGAATGCTTGATTTATATATTGTTTCTTTAGAGCTGTGAAGTGTCGCGTGGAACATCAGCTGTGGAAATATCTCAAGGAGAGAAAGTCACTAGTGACACAACAATTGAACTTTAATCCAAATTAACTATTTACACTTTACTCTTAACCTTACCCCATGACATGGAATCAATCCGGAGCGTTCAGTTCCAGATTCCAGATTCCAGATTCCAGATTCCAGATTCCAGATTCCACATTCCACATTTCACATTCCACATTCCTCATTCCAATTCCTGGATTCTGGATTCCATGGATTTCGGAAGTATTCTAAATTCTACCAAATTGGCTTCAAAATGCAAAACATCCTAGCTTTTGTCGTCAGTGATTCGTTTACAATTCGGAAACATTTGAAGTCGGCTAATTAGGATTTGGGATTCTTCTTTTTATATCGTGTTTATCCTATTCCATTTCCACTGGAGCGGATCCGGATTCCAGAGCAAACATTTGGACGGATTCCAAGTTATAGCTGTCATGTTGCATGTAAATACTGAGCGCCATTTACTTCCGAATTTTCTTGTTTATTCAACCAAGAACTTGGCAGCGATCGAAAGTTTTKCTGTATTTGACATACCTGGCATACTGTATATAAAATAATTAACGAAAGTTTCAAAATATAACAATAACGTAAATGAATCGTGGGCATTGTGCTGTGATAGCAGAAACTGGATGCTCCGAGAAACAAAGAATTGCCCGAGAACGCMGCTCTATTGTTTTCGATATTCAACAAGAAAACTTCAGGAGTTTTGAAAGATGCTGCTGGAATGATTAAAGGCAAAAATTCTTCATTCAATAGACACCTTGCAGTTCGTGTGAATGCAATTCCAACTGGAGGACAAATGAATAGATTCTAGTTCCCAAAAGGGCAAAACTCTTTTGTTTTGTCCTCCAGATGAAGCTGCTTTGACGTCACATACAAGGGGGTCTATAATTCAAATAACAAAATGACAGTACATAAAGCCAGACTGGATCTCAACCCCAGTCGAAAATATCAATATTGTACATAATTTTTATTATTAATTATTAATTTTAATTAGTTTAAAAACTTTTTGTATCACGTMAAAGAAAGCAAGGCCTTTCTTCGTGTTTGTATTCAGTAGCAGCATGCTGTTTATTTCAACTGATGATTAAACACAACAATCTCAGGTCAATGTATTGCTTTTTATTTGCTTTTWTATTTAATCGAGGAAAATCTGTACTATTGGGGTATTAGTATTTATTCTTCCAACATTATTAACACATTATAAGTTAATTAGTCGTGCTAGTCATATTGCTAAAGGGGAAAAAAGTCCCAGGGTCCAATCCAAAATGGCCAAATTACAAACTACAACACTTAATCATGGTTTCTCCTTACGCCTACTGGCGATTATATACAGTCATCGAAATATGGCAATAATGTTATAATTTCTCAATTAACCTATTATCCCGACTTCGCGCTCCTAGAGCGTCTAGTTGTATATGAATATTGAGTCTTTATATGTGTTTCTCAATTAAGAAAGGTGCTATCCACCTTACAGTGGACCCAYGAAAACTACATTGAATACCAAAAAATACGATATGACATAACACATTGATGTTGA